ATTTTATTCTTTTCAGACAAATTCTTCCAATTCATCAGTATGGTTATTATTCTTCAAAATGCTTGTGTTTGTGTCTAGCTTTGTTTCAATCATCAAATACATCAGGCTGTGGTTCAAAACACTAAGAAGTACTTAGCTTCCACAGCTAAGCCCATACCGCTTCTCTGATGTGTCAAAAATCGAGCAAGTGTTGATAAAGATACTGAAAAAATAAATACATCTAAGGATTTCTGAGTATATTTGTAGCTATCTGTGTGTTAGTGTTCAGCTGCATTCTTATTTCACAGAATCACAGAATTGTACGGGTTGGAAGAGACCTCTGGAGATGACCTAGTCCAACTCCCTGCTAAAGCAGGTTACACAGGAAAGCGTCCAGATGGGCTCTGAGCATTTCCAGAGAAGGAGAGTCCAAAACCAATTTAGGCAGTTTGTTCCAGTGCTCTGTCAAACTTGCAGTAAAGAAGTTTTGCCTCTTATGTTCCAGTTTATGCCTATTGTCCCTTGTTGTGTCTCTGGGACACTGAAAAGAGCATGGCTCCATCTGCTTGACTCCCACACATTAGATATTTATGAGCACTGATAAGATTCCTCCTCAGTGTTCTCCAGGCGGAACAGCCCCAGGTCTCTCAGCCCCTCTTCATATAGGAGGTGCTCCAGATCCCTCATTGTCTTTGTGGCCTTCAAGAAAAATGACCATATAAAACATCTCATGGTATAGAAAATGGCTGACAATGGCTTTGCAAAATCTACCAAATATTATCCTCTATCTGCTAATGTAATTCATTAGCTAAGTATATATTTTAAGAGCATACACTTCAGAACAGATGCTCAAGGGTGAAACCATTTTCATTTATTACATGAATACATACGCACTGAATGAATATGGGGTATCCTCTGTTTAAAGGGTACCTAAACCAATGATTTGGTTAAAATACCCTTTACATTTGCTAAACAAAACTATAATAGCTATGATGTGTCATCTTTTGCAGTATTGATTGCGTTTAGGTTGTGTTACACAAACAATATAATCTGACATGCTGAAACCTGTGAGAAATCTCTTCTTTTTTTTTTCATAGTGGACCTGCAGAAATGCAGGAAAAAAACACATCATCAGGATTTTTCTGCTGTGTATCTCATCTGGACTTGATTCTTCTGAATACAAGTCTAAAATATCTTCTATCCGTTTTGCTAGAAGCTATTACAAACTTACCCTGAAAAGCAAAAATCTGCTCCCTACCCTTCAGTACCAAACTAGCTATATGAGAAAAATTCTGCTAGCAACACAATAGTAAATGTTTCTGGACTTGCCCCCCATATGTATTTATGTAGATTCTGGTTGCAACACTGCAATCCTGTATGATCAATGTGACTTGTAATATATGTTCCCATCTTTATTATCTCCTGAATTTGAAAAACAAAGTTAAGATTGAGTTTGGAAATGCTGGACATGATCCAGTCATATGGGGGACTACAGAAGTTAAACTCATTGTGTCACATATTCCATGGCCCACACAATTCTAATAACTTCCAGTCAGACTGTAGCTTGATTAACTTTGCTCAGAAAGCAGAGGCCTTTATTTGAATGGTAAAGTATGAGAAGTGGGAGGAGTGCCCTGTTCTCACCTGCTCATAGCAGATAAGAAAATCTGACTTGCTGAGCATCTCTCCCAGGATAATGTGGCTGAGATTTTCTCTGGGAGGTTCATCCTTTCTCACTTCATCCATCTTCATCCATTGGAAGGTAGACTCCACAGACCATTTCATAGCCCAGAGAAAGGTGTTTGCATGGTGAGAGTTGTGTATGACACCTAATGAAAGAAGGATGTGCAGTGCTAGTTCCTTCCCACTGGAACTTTAAGGCAGATTTACCTGTGCTTGCTTTATCTCACTCCTACTAGTAGTCTGTGCTCCTTTTATTTATACAGTGCTTGTGCTTCAGCTTTTTCTTTCTCACTAGCTCCAGTGTATGTCAGGAAACCCTGTGTACTGAGGGAAAGATTCTCTCATCCTGTAATATATAAACATATTTATTAGTATGTGTATATAGCACAAAAACAAACAAACAAACAAACAAAAAAACCAAAAACCAGTATACTGCAGAGAAAAACTAAAAGCTACACGTAAGCTGGAATACAACATCTACATTCACTACTGAAATTAATCTGCAAATATGAGAAGAAATATTGTTAAATGTCTTACTACCCTACTGATTTTAATACTTCTATATATCTGATACAAATGTCAGGTGGTGCCTTAAAATTAGTCAGCACACTCCCAGCTTTCAGCTGGATCAACACTGCAGTTCAATGCTTGGCATTGCCTGGGAACCTGTTGAGGATGCCCTCCCCCTTGCCACTGAGGACATTAACCAAAATTTTACACAATGTTGACCCCACTGCCAGTTCTAGGGGGACAAGTATCCCTTGTAACAACCCAACAAAGCTTCATGTCAGTCTTCATGAGGACTTGGCCCAAAGCATTCCCAGGGACTGATATAAGGAGGACAGACTTTTTGTTCCCTAGATGTTTGATTGGACACAACTTTTTTTTTTTTTTTTTCAAGGTGACCTGAAGCTCTGCTGCATTTAATATGAGGAAAGCTCATTTTGTGAAATCAAAGTCAATGCCAACACAACCAGAGACAGCCTGATAATGCTGTAACCTGGGGCTGATCTCTCCAGCCCTGTGGGTGTACACAGGCTCTGAGAGAAGCTCAGAATTTTGTTACACACAGAGACACACAGTTTACCAAGCCACAGACAAAACACAACATTTGCAATACCTTAAACATCTTCCAAAACCCTTCTAAAATCCATGCAAAAGCATTATAAGTAGCTATGTACTGTCAATAAGCCTAATAAATAGGGGCAGTAGCAGTCAGCTTTCCTATCTTCCTCCCACACCACCGGCTCCAGCTCCTGTCTTCACAACCTCCCTGCTAACTTCTCTGCCCCTGTCAGTTTGGCAGGGTCTGTGAAAAGAAGATAATTGCTGCTTCAATTTTCAGCTCTGGGCTGAGAAGAGGGTTTGAAATACTCTGTGGCCTGGAAAGAAAATAAGATACCGAATGAGAAGACTTATGGGAGGAGGTTTTAAAAGGAATAAAATGCTGTTCCTCTCTTTCTTGCCTTTTAGCATATGAAAGGATGAATTCATATACTTTATACCCAGAGGCTGCATTTTAACCACTTGTAAGTATCTAACGTTCTCAAAACACCATGCGTTGTAATGCTTAGCCTGAGAATGCTGCTGAGCTGAATAAATCCGTGGTGAGCTGCTATGAACGCCAGAGCACAGGTGTGGGCCCACCTGCTGTACAGGTCCTCCAGGAAATATGTAACAAATAAAGCTTCCCAGATGACAACAGTATGTCCCTCTAGCACCTGTGGTGTGGAGAGGCAGGATGGGTGCCACGACGGCTGGCCTCCAGCCACGGTCCCTGCACATGTCAGCATCAGTGGGCACGGCCTGACAAGGCCAGGACAGAGAGGACCAGCCGTTCGTCCCATGTATCCCTCTCTAGCATTTGTGTTCGGGCTGCAGGATCTCCAGGCGCTTTTATAAGACCCCGGCCTGCCCTAACTTCGCCTGGCGGCGGGACTGCGCCTCGCCCGGGGGCGGCCAGCGGCGCGGAGCCGGGAGCGGACGGCAGGTCGCACTTCTCGCGGCGGCCTGGCGGGGGCGCTGCGAGCCCGGCATTGCGGGCGGAGCGCGGTGGGGCCGTGCGGCGCCTCCGCCGGCCGCGGGCAGCCCCGGGTCGGCAGAGGGGGGGCAGCGCCTCCCGCGGCTCCTCGCACAGCCCGCGCCGAACGCTCCGCTCTCCGCCTTCGGCCGCGACGGTACTCGGTGCCGCTGCCGGCCGTGCGGTCCCGCGGCCGCCCCAACGCCAACCCAGTGTCTGGCTCCGGGGGGTACGCGGCGAGCCGGCAGCGGGCGAACGCGCGGAGCGCGGGCGGCCCCCGCCCTGCCCCGGTCCCGGCACGGCCGCCCCCGAGGGCTGTGCCTGTACCGAGGGAGCAGTGTGACAGGCACCCGCCGGCGGCAGCGGGAAAGTTGGAAGGGCGGCGGGGAGAGCGCGGGGCAGGGGCCGGCAGCGGGGCGGCACCGCACCGGAGCGCCGGGAAGAGCCGGAGGAAAGCGGCTGGCGGCGGGGCGGGCGCCCGAGGGGTACGGGAAGACGGGGAGCGGAGGGAGCTCTGCCGCCGTGCGGGAGGAGGGGCAGGCGGCGACCTGCCGCGAGCAGCCCCGAGCCGCCGGCGCTGCGGGAGGATGCCCGCACGGCTCCGAGGCCACCGATGAGGGGAGCGGGGAAAGTTGTGCGCGCCCCGCCGGGGGGGCCGGAGCAGGGCAGCGCCGGGAGCGGGGCTGGGGGCAGGCTGCGGGCGGAGCGCCTCTCCCCGGCATCCCGGGGGTGGAGGGCAGCGGGAAAGTAACTCGGGAAAGTGAGAGCGATTCCTCCTTATCTTTTTTTTTTTTTTTTTTTTTTTTTTTCCCCTTCTTTTTCTTCCTAATCCGAAAGGACCCGTTTGAAAGGGAAGCGACAGCCGCCGTGTGCTGACAGGAGAGAGCCGGGAGCGGAGGGCAGCGCAGCCGGCACCCCTGCGCTGCGGGGGGGTGCGCGATCCGACGCGGGGTTCCCCCGGAGCGAGCGTGCGGCGAGGCAGCGGCGGAGCGCAGGAAGGTGAGACGGGAGCGGGAACAGAAACTAACGCCGAAAAGAAGAGGGGGGAAAAAAGACGGCTGCGAATTATTTCCAGTGAAAGCGGGTGGATGCGGTGCGGCAGCGACTTGGGATTTAGGGGATGCACCCTTGCGCTTGGCTTCTCCTTCGCCCGAGCCGCCCGTCTCCGGTGGCAGGAAGGCAGCGGCGGTACTTGGTGGCAGGAGGAGAGGAGGAGGAATAAGCGCGAGGGCTTCGCTGAGCGGTGCTTGCAGTGCCCTGCCGATCTGCTTTAAGATTTTTATTTTATTTTTTATTTTCCCCTGGTGGATGCTGATTTCTTGACCTTAATTCTGAGTCCTTTGACTCGCGTCGCAGTTTCTGGTTCGTGTTTTTATTACCTTCGGTGAGGAGAGGCAGGAGGGAGGCTGGCTTCGGTGCTGAAAGTTGCACTCGTCCTTCTTTTGGAGGCAGCATGTGCACCAACATAGTGTACGAGTGGCTGAAAACCCTGCAGCTCCCCCAGTACGCCGAGTCCTTTGTCGACAATGGCTACGACGACCTGGAGGTCTGCAAGCAGATCGGCGACCCGGACCTGGACGCCATCGGCGTGGCCGTGCCCCAGCACCGCCGCCGGATCCACGAGGCCGTGCGGAGGCTGCGGGAGGCGGACGAGCGGGCGGCGGGGCTTTACTTCACTCTGGAGCCGCCGCCCGCGCCTCCCGCCAAGGGGCCCCGCCGCCCACCGGGGCAGGACGGGGCGGCCCCCCGACACCGGCCTGGCCGTGGGGGCCCCGTAGTCTACCCGAGGCTGAAGCTGAAGATCATGATCCGGGACAAGCTGGTCCGCGACGGCATCAACCTGAGCAAGCCGCCCTACTCCAACAAGGTAAGGGGCTCTTGAGGGGCGGTGGCGGCGGCTGGAGGTCTGCTACTCTGGGCGTTCCACCAGCGTGGCACCAGGGTGCGGAGCTGCTCGCAATGGGGTCGATGCGGTCCAACTTAGCGCCAGCCTCACGTGCAGAGGAGCGGGGCCATGGCGGGTGAGATCCTCCCCATCCACCGCTTCAGCTGGGCCTGTGCGCTGCGCCTCTGATTTACTGTTACAAATCGGTTCTTTATGTCCTGTCTGGTCTGGGGCGTGAAGGCAGGGATTGACAGGATAAGCTTCTGGATGTTTTGGGTTTTCCCTTCTCTGAAAGTTTTCCATTGTGTTGGTGAGTGATAGTGTCTCCTGTATTTTGATAAAGGTAGCACTGTAGTGGCAGTGCCTGTTGGTGAAGTGGCTCTTGAAGGAAGCAGTAGTGTAGCCAGTGGGACAACTCCTCGTCCTCTGTTTATTGACTGAAGGGTGGCAGTGACTGCTGAATGTCAGAACCATTTGTCAGCTGCTCCGGGTGCAAGTTGGTCTAGGTCTACAGCATGCTTTGCTGAAAGGCAGAAAAGTGAAGGTCTCCGATGACTATGTCCCAGTTTGATGATATTCATCTAGTTCTTATATTTGAAAAGTTTAAAACGTAACAATAATGTTGTCTGGAAGGTATGTAACTATAAAATTAAACAGACAATACCATGAATGAGAAAGTGATTTGTGATAGAAAACGAGGCATTATGTGAGGTATGTTTGCTTCAGAGTTCAGGATGAAGTGTTTTAGCAAGTTGTTTCACGACCCAAGCTGCCTGCTTCTCTTTGATGATTTGAAGTCTGACTTTTTGGTTGACCTTGAAATTGTGGGTACTTTTAACCTCGGAGTTGAAAGTATGGAAGCAAAGCGATGGAGAGGTCTGCAGATCCAGGTTTCTGGAGATGATTATGATTGTGAGAAATTAAATTTGAGAATTAATACCAGCAGCGGGGGACCTGGATGCAAGAATAATGAGTGAAATCCAACTTGGTAACAATGTAGAGGTGCGCATAATAAGACTTAAAGCATAATAAGGCTCTCAGGACTTGCATTTTTATGGGCCTGGTGATAGAAGGCCAATGGTCACTTCTCAAGTACAGCGCCGCCAGGTGGTCTGAGATATTTGTGTTCACCTTTTCCTGAAACATCTGGCTGGTGACTTTGTCAGAAAGTGAATCAAATCTGATAGGACAGTGGTCAAGTCTAATAAAAACATTACTGAATGCACATTTTGAAGTCTGAGTACAGCATCTTCTGAAACTTCCTGTGCATTTCATTGGGGTCGGTGTGTGTTTGAGGCGAAGCACCATCCAAGAGATTTGTTTTCCCTTTGAAGTAATACTTGTTTGGACTGACGCCTGTCTGAAATTGTCATTACCTGTCTAACATAAACAAACTTCTGTTGAAGTTTTTGCTTATTAATGAAGCCACAGCTCATCACCCACCTTTGGAGCTATGCTTCACTTCTTCCTTTCAACTTTGTGTGCTCACAGTCACCAATTCCTTCTTACCAGGGGAACCCTCTACCTGTCTTCACTACCTTCTATCTTCTCTGTAGGAACTATAAAATTCCTGAGATGACAGTGTATGACATCAAGGAAATGAAAATCTTAGGCATTGCTTTCTTCTTTAGCTCACCTTGTTTTAATTTATTTGATTGCTTTGATAGTAGTGCAAGTTAGCTGTCAGGGCAAACTCATCTTACATGTAAATTGTCACTCAGCTTTAATGCTAAAATGCTTTTTAAACCTAAATGGAACATTTTGTAGCAGAAAGAGGAACCAAGCTTGTTTTAGTTCATCTTGCAATGTCAGTGTATTTATTTTGGATGGTAAATGCATATTAACATCATTTTTACTTCCAGTAATAGAAAAACTTTCTCCATCTTCTTGGTGTGAATCACTTCAGATTGTAGCATGTTCTAGGAAACCATAAAGCTGGCAAGATCTGAATGTGTATTGCTCAACATGTGTTATTGTGAATGCCACCCACTGTAGCAATCCATCTTGAAAACGGCTTAAAGGGAATACCAAAAGATCACGTCACTGTGCATTATTCATGTGCAGAACAAGAAAAATGAAATATTCTTTCATTTGGGAAAGCACTTTATTGTAACCATCTCTTTTTCTAAAGAAAATCCTTTAGAAGACTGTGGCTATGATTTCATCAATCTATATTATATGTTTTTATATAGAATACACACTGTACAGAGTTCTACATGTCAAAAGAAAGTAGATTCTTCTCTTCGTAGGATTAAGAACCATCTCGAGGTTTATCCTGAGTTCTCTGTATGTATTTGTTAAAGGACACATCTGTCTATGATGGTCATGTGGATATCGTGCACCAGACATCGAACTTTTGAAGATGGATTTACATTTGTGCCACTGCATGGCTAACCAGCCTTCTCCTTTCTCGCATGGCTTATATGGACATACAGCCTTCTGATGTTTATGAACCTAACAAAGACATGCATGCTTCTGTGTATACATATGTTAATGGTTGCATACATATTTAGATGCATTTTACTTGTTTTCTGAAGAATGCTCACTGCCTTCACTTATGTAGGTCTCAGACAATTTTGGAGTTTTATCTGAAAATGACCCTGAGGACTGGAAGTGCTGCTGATCCTCTGTCTTGTTTGAAACCTTTTGCGCGCTCATCAAAAGATCAAAAATGAGTTTTAGGTGTGGATGCTGAGATGTTGAAAGCATCCCTTTGCTGTCCTTTTGGTGTTGTCGCTGTATTTTCAGATGAAAACCACAGAGTGTGAGGGATAGGAAAGCATTGGCAAGGTAAAGTTTAGTTTGACTTAGCTTGATCACACCCAGAAGAAATGAGTAACACCTACTTAGCACAGCCTAATATAAATCTCTTAAAGATGTGCAGACTTTGAATTCAAGCCATGTGTGTGGGTGACTAAAGACACGGAGAATTATCGCAAGCCATCTTGATTATTTCCGTGAGAATTATAACAAGACCTCACTTCCTCAAATTGAGTCTTCTATATTTTGCAAATATAAACTGAGGAATAGAGTTGCTACAGAGATGAACTCCACTGAGGCTGGATTTTTGTTCGAGGTTGGTAATGTTCCCTAAAACGCCAAGCCTTCTGTTTCAGTTTCAAGCCTGCTGTCTCTGATCAGCTTAGAAGCTTTGAGAATGTAAGAAACGTTGTGTGGAAGTGATGGGCTCTCTCTCATGCCCTTCACACCACAACCCGCAGTACCTCCCCAAGTCAAATGAAACATCTGCGTCATCCCAAAACATTTTCTCCTTGGGTGTTGTAATTCTGTCTTTAATTAGGAAAACTAATTATGCCTTGTGTAGGAATACTGTTAGTGTTCTTTTGACATGTAGACATTTTCTGGATGGGTCTGATGGGAGAAGGGAAAAAAAAAGCAAACCCTCAAGTTTCCTATTAAGCTGAACAAAGGAGAGCTCAGCACTGACCTGGCAGTAGAGCTTTCACCCCCATGCAGACACTCTTACCTTGGTGGGCTGGTTGCAAAACAGATTGTCTATGCTGGTTTCGAGCAGGAATAATGTCACTAAATGTCACTGTGGTGTTTGGAAAGCAGAGGAGCGCCACTTTAGTCAATATAACGACAAGGAGGATACCTCGTTGTGGAACACGTCAAGAGAAATTAACTATTCTATTTGTCTTGAATACAGATTAAGTGACATTTAATAGTTTACTGGAATTTCATTACTATTTCTAATTGAAATAAATGGCCTGGCCCATTCTTGAAGAATTTTATTCAATTTTAATCTGCAGAGAATTGCAAATGTATTAAAAATGACAGAAAATATACATGCATTAGAAGGTCCCACGCCAATTAAAATGATTTGCTTAGCTTCAATATAGTTATACTGATGTAGATTTCCATATTTATTAGAGAGAATAAAACCGTAGTGCAATGTTCACATGGGTGTGTGACTTCACTGCCACTCACTGTGCTGTTTGTGATTATCAGCACGCTTGGAAAACAAGCACTGGAAATTCAGCTGCATTTGAGGTCATAATCTCAAGAGCTAAAGCAGATGTAGAAAAGTAAGAAGTCAGATCCAAGTGAGTTATCTCATTAAAAGCCCAACTATGTATTTTTAAGTTCCATGCTGCTGATATGGCACTGATTTGTGTTTCTGATTAAATCTTTGTTTAATCCTCACCATTATAAAATGAGGAATATCTCGCATAAGTTACATGCTAAGAAGTGAAGATGCCAGCAGTACTGCTTTGTAACACAGATTCAAACTGAGTCTGTGGCTGGATAATTTAGTTAGTGATTTAGATAGCTACAGAAATGAATTCAGTGAATTAAAAATATTGTGCTTTGAAGAAATGGCAATGCTCACCCATTCTGGAATTAAACATGAACCTTTTTCTAAAGACCTGGCTGCTTTGAAATAACTGAAATAACTGCATCAACCCTGATTAGCAGAGCGTTCTCAAATATGCCTTGGGGAAAGCTGCCTATTGACAAAAGTACTAGTGCATTAAGTAGTAACAATATTTTCATGGCAATAAATTAGCAAAGCTACAGGCGATATTCAGGGAGTGAAAAGGTATTTTGTACTAGAAAGCAATGCATTTGCCTTTGATTTCATACCACTGTTGTGTGTTTTTTTTTTTTTTTTTTTTTAAGGAAAATATGGCACCTCATATATTGGGCAGTTGTTTCAAAGTCCTGATTTATTAAACTCACAAAAAACAAACCGGGAAGGGACTTCGCCCTAACAGAGCATTAAGGCAAATTGTTGCAGAATATGAATAACGCAGCACTCTGCCGTATTTGCATTTGAATTGTTCCTGAATATTTTAACGTGTATTCAATCTCCTCTGAAAATGTTGAATGCGAATTTTCCTGGGCTTCATTATGTTTCACTTTTGAGGGGAGGAAGATCCCATTAGGGTGTATTAAAGGTGGAGTCCTGAGAGAAGCCCCTATTACCTTTGCATAATTTTCCCTCCTTTTATAGTGCTTTCAGCCCTCCATTGTATTTTCACAGGTCAGGTTGGGGTGTGGGCTGGATAGAAGGGGAGTTAGTGGTCCTGAGCTCAGTGGAAGAGCTGCCTTCCCCTGCAACCAGCAACACCTTCAGCCAGCCTCCATATGGCTTTATACTTGAAGGAGAAGCTAAATTAATATTCCCTGGCAAAAGAGGAATGCCTGCTGGTGTGCATGCATGTGTGTGTGTGCGCTGCACATCAACGGGCACCATCACTGGGGCAAAAGTCAAACCCCAAGTTTCACTCCTGAATATCCATATAATTGTCTTGTTTTATCTAAGCTTGGTGGTTGTGAGCCTTCCTGAGGAGAAAACGCTTTTTAACAAAAAGATTTTTGTTACTGCCGCCCCCAGAGCTTCTGTCTCCTCCATATGTAGGGTGAGCGAGCCCATGCTGTTATACAGCCGTGTTTATCGAATGCCAAAGGAAAGAGAAATCTCACAAAGTAATCTCGTGAGCCATGTTTTTAGTTCTGTTCGTTCTGTTATAGCCAATACCACCATACTGCATATGCCTTATATGTAGGGCAGCAGTGTCCCTCATTTTAGATTGATGACTTTCCCTCATTGAAGGAAAGTTGAATGGTTTTCCTAAAGTCACATGAAAAGTTGTAGTGCTGGGACCAACTACTTGCCCATATGTTAACATCAAATGTAAACTCCCCTACGTGTAAATAAGAAAAGCAATATCAGAATAAACAGTAGCTTGGATATAATGACAATTAGTTTCTCTTTTAATTTTGCCTGTTAACATATGCATACAAGGTATAATTGTTACGAATGGTCCTTACCCACTAAGGTATATAAATCCATACGTATGGTCAGAAACATACCCACAGGTACTATAGAACCTGTGTAAAATGCCACAGCGTGATCTGAAGGGACAGGAGTAATGTTAGTGCAGGTCAGCAGAGAACTTACTGCATCAGTTACAGGAGGTCACTTCCTGTCTTGAGATTCTCCCAAAGCAGGGCAGGACAGGCTGCGTTGGTAGGTGGAACTTTTACATGTCTTGCTTTGTCAGTTTGAATGAGACACTTTGCTTTGTGTTTGACAAAGCTATCTTGTTCAATCTCTTTGTCTAGCCTAACATGACATCTCGTGTTGATGTGCTTATCTTGACAAACGCGGTTGCTTGTACGCGCTGCAGGAATTGTCATTTCTTAAAAGTACACGCGGCGCTATGTTTAGCAGTGCTGTGTTATTTTGGGAGCAGCTCTGCAGCAGGAAGCGCAGAATTGCTGAACGTTCCCCAACGCTGCCAGGCTGACACACAACTGTCTGCACCGAGTCCTCGAGTCTGCTAGCTTTGCTACTTGCAGAGTGTAACAAAAGTCTCTGAATGTTTTGCAAAGCAAAAGAGAAGTGGTTTGTCAAATGAAACATAACTGTAACTGCCTTCAAATAATGCCTTGCTGTCGTTCTCACGAGCTCAGCAGTATGTGAATTGTGGTGATACATGCCTCTGGACGCAGCCTTGCTCCTCCACTTGGTTTCATTCCCAGTGAAGTCAGTGGGGGTTTTGCCAGGGATTTCATCTGATGCTGAGTTTGGATTGAAGTGTTCAAGTCTAAATCAGCTAACAAGTCTGCCCTTACCAGCTGTAATTGTAATGGGTAAGAACCTTGTAACAGGAGATGACGACAGAAAATGTAGCAGTAGTGTGCAAAAAGAAACCGAAACGTTCCAGAGCTTCAAATATCACCATTAGCAGCTTGAACAGCAGCAAGGCTGACTTATGAATTTAGATCTGACAGTTTTGCTCAGGAATAA